ACTTGATAGTTTTCACAATTGCATTTCCCCGAGCAAGATTCTGAAGAGAAATTTAGAAAATCAGCAGGGTCAATTTGGAATGACTGAATTCCAAGAATGTGTACTTTGAGATTGGTTAGAAAAGTATATTCCTTGGTCTAGGAGCCTGGAAACTACAGGGCTTAAGACAGATCATTGGAATGGCTGAATACAAGGAACACATATTTTAGCATTAGATACAGGATGACTTTCCATTTATTTTTATCTTTATTAATTTCATTTGTAAATATTTTGTAATTGTAAATGAAGCTGACACACTGCCAAAAAATCTATAAAAGGAGAAGGAGATGGAGAATGAAAGGAAAGAGGCAGAGAACAAATATACCAATTTGGGGAGTTCCAAGTATCCAATATGGATAAAACATATAAATATTTGGGGAAATATGAGTGGAGTAAGTTTCTAGATATTACATCACCCTCTTCTTCTCCCATCTACCACCTAATCCTGCCATCCTTTTATATTTCTTCCACTTCAGACAAATAAACACCATCTTAAAAGACTCAGATTGATGGAAAAATGAATCAAAAAGGAAGCAATTGCTATAGAAATGGAGTGTAGATGAGGTATGTGGCAAGTAAGGTGGGATCACAAACCAAAATAAAAATTCATCACTTGGTCATAAAAGGAATACATTTTGAAGAGAATGAAGGTAACTCAATGAAAAAAAAGATTTAATTTTTCAAGTACAACTCACTGGTTTCTGAATGTGCTCTGATCATTTATTGCTAGAGTTCTTAAAGGTGAAGTATTGCCAAACAATTTCCAGCATCCAATCAAAAAATTACTAGAATTCCCCCCAAAAGAAAAAAGTGACCCATAGCAAGTTTTTTAAAAAGCAATCATTGAAAACAGAAATTATAGAGATGACTGAATTGGCTGATAAAATCTTTAAGCCATTAATATTAATACATTTAATGAAGCATAAAAAGAAAGGATAAACTAGGAAGAAAAATGGGACTTCTAAACAGTATCTGGAATGAACAATTATTTGGATTACTTTAACGAGAGGTTAAACATTGCAGAATAAAAGAATTGGGAAGTTAAACAAATAACAATAGGGACTACCCAGGCTGAAGCAGAGACAGAAAAAATAAAAATATGAATGGAAACTCAATGGCATGTGGGAAAATATCAAATGATATAAAATATGTGTATTTGAAGATTCAGAATAGGAAATGAGGAGGAGAAAATGTTAAGAAATGACAGATGGAATTCTTCCAAATTTAATGAAAACTGTAAATGCACTGGTACAGAAGGTTAAACAAATCCCAAATGAAATCAATAAAACATTGTTAGAAAACCCTATAATACAATTGCTGAAATCCAGTGATAAACAAACAAACAAACAAACAAAAAGAAACAGTCTTGAAAGCCTTCAAAAAAGTTCGACACATTACATACAGGAAACTAAGACAAGTTGCCCTGACTTTTTATTGGCAATGTAAGTCCCTTAACAAAGTCAAAACATATTTTAAGCACTGGGGCTGGAGAAGGTGTTACATAGAATTCAGTCACCTATGAAACTACTTTTCAAAACTGGATGAAAATTTAAATGATGTCAGATAAATAAATGATGATAGAATTTGAGGTGATCAGACATATGCTACACAAAACTGCTACAAAATGTCTTCAGGCTAAAGGTAAACAATAAAAGATGAAAATGTGAATCCACCCAAAGCTATGGACACTGCACTAAACAGTAATTTTGTGGATAAATATAAGCATTTTTCTCTCATTTTTAATATAATAGAATATTTAAGGCAAATAATAGCAACATTTTATAGGATTCATAATGTAATTACAAGTAGAATGTATGACAACAGTAACACAAATGACAAGAACAGGGAAGTGGAAGTTTACTAAAATAGGTTTGACATTGTGCGTTGTGACAAAATGTTATCTCAAGGTAAAATGTGATTATTTTTGTTGTTCAGTGTCTAAGTCATGTCTGACTCTTTGTGACCCCATGAACTGCAGCACATTATGCTTCCCTGTCCTTTACTATCTCACTCTTTTGAATTTGCTCAAACTCAAGCCCATTGAGTTGATGATGCCATCCAACCATCTCATGCTCTGTCAACCCCTTCTCCTCCTGCTGTCAATCTTTCCCAGCATCAGGGTCTTTTCCAATGAGTTGGCTCTTCACATCAAGTGGCCAAAGTGTTGGAAGTTCAGCATTGGTCTTTCCAAAGAATATTCAGGGTTGATTTCTTTTAGGATTGACTGGCTTGATCTCCTTGAAGTCCAAGGGACTCTCAAGAGTCTTCTCCAGCACCACAATTTGAAAGTATCCATTCTTCTGTGCTCAGCCTTCTTTGTGGTCCAGCTTGAACATCCATACATAATTACTTGAAAAACCATAGCTTCATCTACATGGACCTTTGTTGGCAAAGTGATGCCTCTGGCATATATTGTCTAGGTTTATCATAGCTTTTCTTCCAAGGAGCGAGGTGTTTTTTTTTTTTTTTTTTTTAATTTTATGGCTGCAGTCACCATCTACAATGATTTTGGAGTCCAATAAAATAAAATCTGTCACTGCTTCTACTTTTTTCTCTTCTGTTTGCCATGAAGTGATGGGAGCAGATGCCATGATCTTAAGTTTTTTGACTATTGAGTTTTAAGCCAGATTTTTCACTCTTCTCTTTCACCCTCATCAAGGGGTTCTTTAGTTCCTCTTCATGTTCTGCCATTAGAGTGATATCTGCATATCGGAGGTTGTTGATATTTCTCCTGGCAATCTTGATTCCAACTTGAGCTTCATCAAGCCCAGCATTTTGCATGTTGTACTCTGCATAAAAGTTAATTAAGCAGGATGACAATATACAACCTTGATGTACTCCTTTCCCAATTTTGAACCAGTCCATTGTTCCATATCTGGTTTTAACTGTCACTTCTTGTCTTGCATACAGATTTCTCAGGAGGCAGGTAAGGTGGTCCAGTATTCCACAGTTCATTGTGATCCATACATCAAAGGCTTTCCCATAGTCAATGAAACAGATATGGATGTTTTTCTGTAATTCCCTTGCTTTCTCTATGATCAAACGAATGTTGACAGTTTGATCTCTGGTTTCTCTGCCTTTTCTATGCCCAACCTGTACATCTGGAAGTTCTTCATTCACATACTGCTAAAGCCTACCTTGAAGGATTTTGAGCATAACCTTACTAGCATGTGAAATGAGGAAAATTGTACAGTAGTTTGAATGTTCTCAGGGATTCCCTGGTGGCTCAGATGGTAAAGCATCTGCCTGCAGTGCGGGAGACCCAGGTCCGATCCCCAGATTGGGAAGATCCCCTGGAGAAGGAAATGGCAACCCACTTCAGTACTCCTGCCTAGAAAATTCCATGGATGGAGGAGCCTGGTGGGCTACAGTCCATGGGGTCGCAAAGAGTCAGACACGACTGAGTGACTTCACTTTCACTTTCACTTGAATGTTCTCTGGCCTTGCACTTTTTGGGGATTGGAATTAAAACTAACCTTTTCAGTCTTATGGCCATTCCTGAGTTTTCCAAATTGCTGACATGTTGAGTGTAGCACTTTAATATCATCTTTTAGGATTTTAAGAAGTTCAGCTGAAATTCCATCACCTCCACTAGCTTTGTTCATAGTAACGCTTCCTAAGGTCCACTTGACTTCAGACTTCAGGATGTCTGGCTCTAGTTGAGTGACCACACCATCATGGTTATCCAGGTTATTAAGACCTTTTTTGTACTGGTTCTCTGAGTATTCTTGCCACATCTTCTCGATCTTACCTGCTTCTTCTAGATCATTGCCTTTTATTTTCTTAGAGTCCTCAACTAATATCATCAAAAATTTGCTGAAGGTGAGATTGGAAAAGATCATTTTTCCAATGATCTTCCCAACATAACACAGAGAGCTGATTGAATGTGGCTGCTAAGGACCCACTACAGATTCCTCAGGGCTGCCTTGTCTCACCTTCTCATCAGGTGGGGTAACATATTCCTGAGACCCAACCACCAGTATCAGAGAATTTGAAGGGATATGTGATAATATTACCTTAATTCTGGCTATTAGCATGGGATTAATGTCCTGAACAATTCATCAAACATTTCTATAACAACTGGAAATATCTCTGACAAAAACTGTGACCACCCAATCACATTCTAATTTCCACCTTGGCTCAGGTCAAATACATTTAGATAGGATAGAGCCCTTATTATGTATCAGTAATACTCTCTTAACCTCACTGCCTTTAGTTTTGCTCCAGCTTCTGTGTTGTAATTATCAAACTTCAGGTTTTCCTGCAGCTTCAACATCCCCACAAATAGGATGTGAGCTCCCCACCTAGGTGAGGAGGTACACCACTGTCAGACAATCCCCTGACACAAACCCTCCATCTTCTTCTTCCCTGCAACCTAGTGACCTTCAAATGCATCAACGATATCACCTCAAACATTTATAGTGTAACTAAACCCTGACCCTGAATACTGTAACTTGTTCATGGGTCTTCACACCCCATTTTGGGTCACCACTCCTGTTTTAAGGCTTTTCTATTGGTCCCTCTCCCATGTACTGTCTCTCTAGGACTTGGGAGTATAATACACTTGGTTTGCCCGCACCTCTCCTACGCCCCCCTCATGTAACTGCACTTGTCTGACCATCCCATGAAAGAATACAAGCTACCATGATGAACTTAAATCCTAGAAGTTCAGCCTGGCAGTTGTACATGTATGAAGCATTTGACCTCATCTCTCTTCCTCCTATGAAGACCACATGACTGGAAGGGCTCAGTGACCAATGAGTATGGCTTGCTTTCTCTCCAGGGACAGACAAGCCCTTCTGCTCCCTTGAGTACCTAACATTCAAGGAGTCATTGGATCATTGGAATCTTCAGCCAAGACTGTCCTAAAGGCTGTGATCCATATTCTCATAGTTATTCTGGGAATGAGACTGGGAGGCTTCTCGTGTAGGGGATTCCCTTTTGAACCAGACAGCACTTACCTGAGCAGACTGCTCCAGCATCCTTGTCATGGGAATGGCCCTCTGGATGATGGTCTTTCACAGTAGGGTAACTACACTTGGTGATAGCTGACTCTGGCCCTTTGCAGTAAATATAATGAAACCAAATGGGTCCAACTCCTGGTCCAAACTTAGCCCCTTTGGGAGCATCAACAGCAGTTCCACACCCTAACTGTCTGCATACCACAGATGCCTCCTCCAAGCTCCAATTTAGATCATTCACTGTGCCCCATTCTCCTTGGTGCTTCACTTCCACTCTCCCCTCACAGCGGTGGGCTCCATCCTTCAGTCTCAATTCCAGAGCTGCAAGGCAGACACAGACACAGGAAATGGTTCACAGAAGAAATTTTAGAAGAGCATGAAATAGTATGTTGGTTAAGTATTAAAAAAATGAATATTCTAATCTCTGGGGGGGGGGGAATCACTGTGAATAGCATTCGTTGGCCTCTGTGGTATAAATTTTTCTGCTGACCCAACTCTAAGCTCCCAATGTGCCATCACTGAACCTGGAGCAGGAAGGGAGGCACCAAGTATTTCTCAGGAGCCTGTAGAACCAGCTTCAGGGATACCATCGGGGACAGGCATTCAGAGACTCTGGATGCTGCCCTCCCTGTAGATGTGCCCAAGGCTACTAGGGCCCAGCTTCCCCATCTCAGTTACTGCTCATGGCCCAGGATCCAGGGAGGAATCCTCCCTCTCCTTCCCTGTCCATAGGGAGCATCTCATCCAGCTTAGGAACAGAGGGCTGGGGTAACAGGCTCTTAAATGTCCCAGTTATTCCTGCCATCTGTGTTCACATCCTTGTGTAATTCCCATGCTCAAATGTACCTAGAAACTTGCATCTAACAAATGGAATTTGACAAAAGTGTTGAAACGTCAGTTAGATTAGGATTCAAGATGACTCTGGTTTCTCCCTTGTTGACCTTCCTGCTCTCTCTCTTGCTCTGTTGAAGCCAGCTGCCACGTTGTGAAAACTTATGGGGAGACGCTCATGACAAGAAATGGAGGCAGGCCTCTAGCCAACAGTCACCTAGGGACAGAGGCTCTCAGTTAAACAGTTAAATAGCTTCCAGCATTCAGGTGAGTATGTTGGATGATATCCACCTCTGCTTGAACCTTCAGATGACTGCATCCTTGTAGACATCCTGAGTCAGAGGACCCAGGTAAGCCATGTCCGTTCCTGGCCCACACAAAGTGTGAGATACTAGGTGTTTGCTGACTTAAGCTGCCAAGTTCAGCAGTAATTTGCTGCACAACAACACGTAACTAATGCATGACTTCCCTCCAGAGTTGGAAGACAGAGGGTGAACAAGCTGGAGGGTTCACGAGCCTTCACTACACAGGAAGAATCCTGTGTGACCAGGTCTGCTGCTTGGTCCCAAGCAGAACTGGGACCCAAACCACTTCTCTCTGTCACATCGGGTCTCACCCAGTGTCCCAGGCTCCTGCCTTCCTGTCGGAAACTGAGAAGTGAGCTTCCTGAGACCTTGAATCAGCTCCATTAGCTTTGAATTCAGGTCAGAAAGTGAGAATTTTTCTTATAATCTAATGAGATGTGGTCCCTGGAGCACCATTCACACTGCTTAAGTCTACGCCCTGCCCCCTGTCCTTTTACTCTGGAAACAAAAGAGGTGCATCACAGAGGGAACATCTGGGGAAATGAACTGGAGAAGATCCTGATGTATAGTCAGATCAGGCAGGTCACCATGACAAAATATCACAGACTAACTGGTTAAACCACAGAAATGCATTTATCTGATCACAGTTCTGGAGTCTGGTAAGTCCATGGTCACAGGGCTGGCAAGGTCTCATTCTGAGTCCTCTTCTCTGGACGTGCAGGCCGCAGCTCTCTCACTGTGTGTTCACCTGGCCTTTCCTAGGTTATGGGCACCCAGAGAGAGGGAGGAAGATGTGTCTCATCCTCTTCTTATAATGTCATGTATTGGATTAGGGCTACATCCTTATGGTCTTATTTAACTTCAGTTAATTCCTACAGGCTCTATCTCTGGTGCAGTCACAGTGGGAAGTAGGACTTCAATATATGAACTTTGGAGGGACACAGTTCAGTTCATAGACCTGTGAGTCTCATCTATGATGGTAATAAAGATAAGTGGGGATAGTATAAAAGATAAAGTATATTCTAGTTGGAGTTAATATCAAGACATAAATTTTCTTAAATTGCAACATTAAAAGCTCCAATATGGCTCAAAATTTCAAAAGTTCAGTCCACTATTATTTACTGGCTGATTTATCAAAATAAGGCAGGGCCACCTGTAGTGCCTCCACAAGTCTATCTACAGTTGGAAACATGATTATGACATTGTGACAAAAAGGATGGTTACTTGAAATGCTAGAAAACAAGTTTTCCTACACCGAAAATTCCTAACTGAAATTAAATGCCTTTTGAAAATAACTCTTTTTAATCATAACATGTTAATAAAGAGGATGAAGGAAACTTTTGAGGAGTGGAAAAGGCTTATGACATAAATTGCGGGAATGATTACACATATGTATATTGATCTCCAAACTCAAAAGTTGTAAATATTAACTATGTACAGTTTTTGTGTCAGTCATACTTAAAATACTTAAAAATAACGGAATTTTTTTAAAAAGAAAGAATTGTTTCCTTAGAGACCTCAAGAGTATCATCACACATCTGCTAAAGGTGGGGTTGGAAAAAAATTACTTTTCCAGTGACCTTCCCCAACATAACACCAAAGAGTTGACCTACCGTGGCTGCTAAATACTTAGTGACAATGTCCTCAGAGCTCCTCTGTGTCACTGTCTCATCAGATGGCATGACACTTTCCTAAGACCAACCAGCATTATTAGAGAATTTGCGATTATATATGATAATATCTTACTCATCAGGCTATTTTCATTGGGTTAACGTCCTGGACAATTCACCAAACATTCCTATGACAACTGGAAGTGTCTGCCAAAATACTCTAACCATCCAATCACATTCTAATTTCCTCCTTTTCTCAGGTCAAATACACTTAGACAGGACTGAATCCTTATGTGTCCCTTCATGCTCTCTTAACCTCACTACCCTTAGGTTTGCTTCAGTTTCTGTGTTGTAATTGTCAAGCTTCAGGTTTTCTTGCAGCCTCAATATCCCCGCAAATAGGAAGTGAGCTCCCTACTCAGGTGACCAGGTGCACCAGGACGATATTACCACCTGACACAAATCCCCTCTTCTTGTCCTCCCTTGTGACCTAGTGACATTCAAATGCATCAGTGAAATACCCTCATGTCTCTTCCTTCTGTAATTCCACCCAACCCCCCATACTGTATCTTGTTCACAGGTCTTCATCCCCCATTTTTGGTCACCACTCCTGTTTTACCACTTTCCTGTTGGTCCCTCTCCCATGTACCCACCTGCTGGCACTCTGTCTCTCTAGGACTTGGGAGTATAATACACTTTGTTTGCCTGCACCTCTCCTACATCCCCTCTTGGAGTTGCAATTGTCTGACCATCCCATGAAAGAATACAGCAAGCTACCATGATAAACCTAATTCATAGAAGTCCAGCCTGGCAGCTGTACCTGCATGAAGCATTTGACCTCATCTCCCTGCCTCCTATGAAGACCACAGAGCCTGGAAGTGCTCAGTAGCAATAGGTGTGGAGACTTTCTCTCCTGTGACAAGCAAGCCCTTCTGTTCCCTTGAGCACCTGACATTCAAGGAGTCACTGGATCACTGGACTCTTCACCCAAGAATATTGTAAAGGCTGTGATCCATATTCTCATAGTTATTCTGGGAATGAGACTGAAGCTTCTCCTGTTGGGAATTCCCTTTTGGATCAGACAGCACTTACCTGAGCAGACTGCTCCAGCATCCTTGTCATGGGAATGGCCCTCTGGACGATGGTCTTTCACAGGAGGATAACTACACTTGGTGATAGCTGACTCTGGCCCTTTGCAGTAAATATAATGAAACCAAATGGGTCCAATTCCTGACCCAAATTTAGCCCCTTTGGGAGCATCAACAGCACCTCCACACCCCAACTGTCTGCACACCACAGCTGCCTCCTCCATACTCCAGTTGTGATCATTCACTGTGCCCCATTCTCCTTGGTGCTTCACTTCCACTCTCCCCTCACAGCGGTGGGCTCCATCCTTCAGCCTCAGCTCCAGAGCTGCAGAGGGACAAGGACACAGGAGACATTTTAGGAGATGCTGCGGAAGTATAGTGGTAATAGTAAAAAATGAAATCTCTGACTTCTGAAAAAAAAAATCCTGTGTTCAGCATTTCTTGACTTCTATGGTATAAACATTCCCACATAGCCAACTCTAAGCTTCCAATGTGCCATCACTGAACTTGGAGCAGGAAGGGAGGCATCAGGTGTTTCTCATGAGCCTGTAGAACCAGCTCCAGGGACACCACCAAAGACAGGCCTCCAGAGACTCTGGATGCTGCCCTCCCTGTAGATGTGCCCAAGGCTACTAGGACCCAGCTTCCCCTTCTCAGTTACAGCTCATGGCCCAGGATCCAGGGAGGAATCATCCCTCTCCTTCCCTGTCCATAGGGAGCATCTCATCCAGCTTAGGAACAGAGGGCTGGGGTAACAGGCTCTGAAGTGTCCCAATTATTCCAGCTGCCTGGTGTTTGTTTCCTTGTGTAATCCCCACACTCAAATGTACCTAGTAACATGTGTCTAACAAACAATTTGGCAACAGGGATGAGATGTAATTTAAGAGATCAGATTTCAAGATGACTCTGGTTTCTCTTTATTGATCTATCTTGCTCTCCCTTTTGCCATGGCAAACTGAATAGAACGCGTCGTATAAGAAAAAAAAATTGGCTGCTCATTAATACATTAAAACCTAGCTTACTTTGGCTATAGTGATAAGAAATAAAAGGAAATTGACAAACAGAAAAATACTAAGACAGAGACTTATATATTACCTCAAATTGCAAAACATCTGTGCTAAAACCGAAGTCACTAAGAACGTGAGAAGCCAATGTCACATAAGAAAAACCCTAAATGTGCTAAGAAAAATTGCCAATCTTAAACTATATTCAAAAATCACCTTTTTTAAAAAGAATGAAGCCCTGGAAAGTGACATCATGAAACTGATGATGTAGGAGACAGCAGCTTCCTTCTCCTTCCTCAACAAAGATCAATTCCCTTGAACCTTTTGTCACTTCCACTGTAAAATTATACGGGGTCTCCAAATTCATCATTTTGTAAATATTAACAATATACAGCTTTTTGCATGTCAGTCTTACCTCAAACAGGAATTTTTAAAAAGGAAAAGAATTATTTTCTTAGCCAACTCAAGAGTATCATCAAAAATCTGCTAGCAGTAAGATTGGAAAAGATATTCCAGTTGTTATCAGAATGTCTGATGAATTTTCCAGAGTAGAAACCCACCGCAATAGTTGGAATTGAGGAAGATATTATCAAATATCACAGCAAGCTGGGAATATCTTTGAAAAATACTGTGACCACCCAATCACATTCTAGTTTGCCCCTTGGCTCAGGTCAAATACATTTAGACTGGACTGAGTCGTTATTATGTTATCATTTCAAAGTTTTCTTAACCTCACTGTCCTTAGTTTTGCTTCAGCTACTCTGTTATAATTCTCAAGCCTTAGGTTTTCCTGCAGCCTCAACATCCCCACAAATAGGATGTGATCTCCCCACCCAGGTGAGCAGGTGTACCAATGTGATGAGATTGCCACAAATCCCATATCTTGTCCTCCTCTGTGACCTATTTACATTCAAAAGCACCAGTAAAATGCCCTCAATAGTTTCTTTCTATAACTTCAAGGTCAATAACTGACCTTGTTATTGTCAATTGTTCATTGATCTTCACACCCCATTTTGGGTCTCTACTTCTTGGCTAAGCCTGTTCTATTGGTATCTACCCTGTATACTCATAAGAGGATACTCTCTGTACAAATTGTGAGTATAGTGAAGTAAGTTTGCTTCTACCTCTCGTATATGCTCTCCTGTAGTCCCATTTGTTTGAATGTCTGATGCAAGAATACAACAAGCTACCATAATGAACCTAATTCATAGAGGTCCACCCCAGTAGTTGTATCTGCATGAAATATTTGACCTCACACTTCCACCTTCTATGACAGACCACAGAGATTGGAGGGCCCAGTGACTATGGGTCTGGAGCTTTTTTCCCCAGGGCCAAGCAAATTTTTACGTTCTTTTGAGCACCTAATGTTCAAGAAATCAGTGTATGAGTGGAGTCTTCAAAGAAGTATGTTCTAAAGACTGTGATCCACATGTTCATAGTTTCTCTGGGAATAAAACTGAAAGGTTTCCTACTGGGAATCTCCTCCCAGACCAGAGAAGACTTACCTGAGCAGATTGCTCCAGCATCCTTGTTATGGGAATAGCCCTTGGTGCGATGGTCTTTAAGAGGAGGATAACTGCACTCGGTGATAACTGACTCCTGCCCTTTGCAGTAAATATAATGAAACCAAATGGGTCCAATTCCTGGTCCAAATTTAGATCCTTTGGGAGCATCAGCAGCAGCTCCACACCTCAGCTGTTTGCACACCACATGTGCCTCCTCCATGCTCCAGTTCAGGTCATTCACTGTGCCCCATTTTCCTTGGTGCTTCACTTCCACTCTCCCCTCACAGCTGTGGTCTCCATTGATCAGCCTCAGCTCCAGAGCTGCAAGACAGACACAGATGCAGGTCACAGGAGAGGTTTTATGAGACAGTGCAGTGGTGTCCTATTAAGTATTAAAAAAAACTTCTCTCTGAGGGGAAAGCTCCATGAATAGCATTTGTTGACTTCTGTGGAATAAATATTCCCTCCGTGGCCAACTCAAAGCTCCCAAAGTGCCACCACTGAACCTGGATCAGGAAGGAAAGCACCAAGTATCTCTCACAAGCCTGTAGAACCAGCTCCAGGGACCCCACCGAGGATAGGCCTTCAGAGACTTTGGATTATGCCTTCCCTGTAGATGTGCCTAAGGCTACTAGGGCCCAGTTTCTCTGTCTCAGTTACAACACATGGCCCAGGATCCAGGGAGGAATCCTCTCCCTCCTTCCCTGTCCCCTAGGGAGCACCTCATCTAGCTTAGGAACAGAGGGCTGGGTAACGGCCTCTAAAATGTCCAAGTTATTCCTGTCACCTTTTGTTCACACCCTTGTATAATGCCCATACTCAAATGTACCTAGTAACAGGCATCTAAAAAATGGAATTTGGCAAAGTGATGAGATGTCACTTAGATTTCAAGATGATTCTGGTTTCCCCTTCTTGACCTGTCTTGCTCTCTCTCTTGCTCTAATAAAACAAGCTGCCATGTTGTGACCTACTTATGGAAACACTTGCATGACAGGGAATGGAGGCAAGCCTCTATCCAACAGCGAACATGGACCAGGACTCTCAGTTCATCAGCCTGCCAAGGTCTGAATGCTGCCAACACCCAGTCGATTACATTTGGACAGTTACCACTCCTGGTTGAACCTTCAGATGATTACATCCTTGTGAGACATCATGAGTCAGAGGACCAAGGTAAGCCATGTCAATTCCTGGCCCACCAAAGGTGTGAGATACTAGGTGTTTACTGACTTAAGCTGCCAACTTCAGCACTAACTTGTTGCACAACAACACATAACTGATGCAAGGCTTCCCTCTAGAGTCAGAAGGCAGGGGTGAACAAGCTGGAGGTTTATATGTGAGCCTTCACTGCTTCATCCAGGTGAGACTTCTTCCTGTGTGATCAGGTCTGATTAGCCCCTGCCACAAATACCCCTTCTTGCCCTCCCCTGTGACCTAGTGATATTCAAATGCACCCATGAAATCTCTCTTTTTCTAGTATAACTCCACCCTGACCCCCAGTATTGTCACTTCTCCATGGGTATTCACACCCCATATTGGGTCCCCACTGCTAGGTGGATCCTGGTCTATTGGCCCCTCTCCCATGTACCCATCTTATGGCCTCTGTCTCTCTAGGACCAGTGAGTATAATACACTTTGTTTGCCTGCTTCTCTCCTATATACCATCGGGTAGCTGCACTTGTCTGACCATCTCGTGAAAGAATACAAAAAGCTACCATGATGAAACTAATTAATCGAGGTCCAACCTGACAGTTGTACATGTATGAAACATTTGACCTCACCTCCCTGCCTCCTATGAGACACATCACAGTGACTGGAAGGACCAGTGACTATGGATCTGGAGACTTTCTATCCAGGGCCAGTTCAGTTCAGTTGAGTCAGTCAGCTGTGTCAGACTCTTTGTGAGCCCATGGACTGCAGCATGCCAGGCCTCCCTGTACATCACCAACTCCCAGAGTTTACTCAAACTCATGTCCACTGAGTCAGTGATGTCATCCAACCATCTGATCTTCTGTTGTCCCCTTCTCCTCCCACCTTCAATCTTTCCCAGTATCAGGGTCTTTTCCAATGAGTCAGCTCTTTGCATCAGGTGGCCAAAGTATTAGAATTTTAGCTCAGCATCAGTCCTTTCAATGAATATTCAGGACTGATTTCCTTCAGGATGGACTGGTTGGATTTCCTTTCAGTCCAAGGGACTCTCAAGAGTCTTCTCCAACACCACAGCTCAAAAGCATCAATTCTTCAATGCTCAGCTTTCTTTATAGAAAGCTTGGTCCAGGGCCAAGTTGGACCTTATGTTCCTTTGAGCACCTAATGTTCAAGAAAGCACTGTGTGACTGAAATCTTCATCCAAGTATGAAGTATAAAGACCACTCTGGTAGTTCAGTGGTTAAATATAAAGACCACCATCCAAGTAAGTTCTAAAGTCTGTGATCCATATTCTCATAGCTATTCTGTGAATAAGACTGAGGCTTTTTCTGTTGGGAATCCCTCCCAGATCACAGGGCTTACCTGAGCAGACTGCTCCCGCATCCTTGTCATGGGAATTGCCCTCAGGGCGATGATCTTTAACAGAAGGATAACTACACTCTGTGATAGCTGACTCTGAACCTTTGCAATAAATATAACAAAACCAAATAGGGCCAATCCCTAGTCCAAAATGAGCCCCCTTGGGAGCATCAGTGGCACCTCCACATCCCATCTGCCTGCACACCACAGCTGCCTCTTCCATGCTCCAGCTCAGATCATCCACTATGCCCCATTCTCCTTGGTGCTTCACTTCCACTCTCCCCTCACAGCTGTGGGCTCCATCCTTCAGCCTCACCTCCAGGGCTACAAGAGAGACACAGGACATAGGAGAGGTTTTGCAGACTTGCACCAGGGGTGTGCTGGTAAATATTAAAAGATGAATACTCTATTCTCTGGAAAAAAATCACTGTGAATAGAAAGTGTTGATGTCTGTGGGGTAAACATTCCCACCATGGCCAACTCTAAGCTCCCAATGTGTCACCACTGAACCTGGAGCAGGAAGGGAGGCACCAGGTATTTCTTTTGAGCCTGTAGAACCAGCTCCAGGGACACCACCGAAGATGGGCTGTCAGAGATTCTGGATGCTGCCTGCCCTGTAGAAGTGCCCAAGGCTATTAGGGCCCAGCTTCCCCATCATCTCAGTTGCAGCTCATGGCCAGGGATCCAGGGAGGAGTCCTCCCTCTCCTTCCCTGTCCATAGGGAGCATCTCATTCAGCTTAGGAACAAAGGACTGTGGTAACAGGCTCTAAAGTATACCAGTTGTTCCTGTCACCTGGTGTTCATGTCCTTGTGTAATCTCCACACTTGGGTGTATCTAGTAACATGAGTCTAACGAATGGAATTTGGCAAAAGTGATGAGATGTCACTTAAGAGATTAGTTTTTAAGACAATTCTGGTTTCTCCTGGTGACCTATCCTGCTCTTTCTGCCTTGATGAAGCCAGTCGCCACATTGTGAGCTATGTATGGAGAGACCCACGTGATAAGGAATCAAGGGAGACCTCTAACTCATGGCAGAAAGGGACTGGTGCTCTCAGTTAAACAGTCCACCAAGTCTGAATGCTACCAACATCCAGGTGAGTGTGTTTGGGCGATGTTCACTCCTAGATGAACCTTTTAATAAATGCAGGCCTGTGATACATACCATATGTGTGTCTATAACTGGTCCCTGACCTATATGGGCACCTGTACCTGGCCCTTCAATGCCAACTGGGTGCATACTTCTGGCACTGACTGTTCTCCATAGTGGCTGTACTAGTTTGCATTCCCACCAACAGTGTAAGAGGGTTCCCTTTTCTCCACACCCTCTCCAGCATTTATTGCTTGTAGACTTTTGGATAGCAGCCATCCTGACTGGCGTGTAATGGTACCTCATTGTGGTTTTGATTTGCATTTCTCTGATAATGAGTGATGTTGAGCATCTTTTCATGTGTTTGTTAGCCATCTGTATGTCTTCCTTGGAGAAATGTCTGTTTAGTTCTTTGGCCCATTTTTTGATTGGGTCATTTATTTTTCTGGAGTTGAGCTGGAGGAGTTGCTTGTATATTTTTGAGATTAATCCTTTGTCTGTTGCTTCGTTTGCTATTATTTTCTCCCAATCTGAGGGCTGTCTTTTCACCTTGCTTATAGTTTCCTTTGTTGTGCAAAAGCTTTTAAGTTTCATTAGGTCCCATTTGTGTATTTTTGCTTTTATTTCCAATATTCTGGGAGGTGGGTCATAGAGGATCCTGCTGTGATTCATGTCGGAGAGTGTTTTGCCTATGTTCTCCTCTAGGAGTTTTATAGTTTCTGGTCTTACATTTAGATCTTTAATCCATTTTGAGTTTTGAAAATACAAGTTCTTTTGAATAATTTTTTTTTTACAATTCTGCATCCTCACTGGAGAATATTTTTAAAATATACCATTGCATACCAAAGAAAATTTAAAACCATTGCAATCTCACCTCCAAAAAATAATCACGTAAGATTTTTAGTCAAAATTAGAATCATGCTATTCACAGTAGTTTGTAGTATGTTTGTTCTCCTGACAACACATACAGATTCAATTTTTAATTCCCACTTGTTAATGATCATTGATTATGATTTCAGGAAAGGTATTTCTCTCTGGGGCTGAGTTACTCCCTCTCTAAAATGAGGATGTTAGATTAATTTTTAGGGAAATGCAAAGCAAAACTACAATGAGGTACCACCTCACACCACATGATTAAGAAGTCTACAAATAACAAATGCTGGAGAGGATGTGGAGAAAAAGGAACCCTCCTACACCACTGGTGGGAATGTAGCTTGGTGCAGCCACTATGGAAAACAGTATGGAGGCTCCTCAGAAAGCTAAAAGTAGAATTACCATATGACCTAGCAATCCTACTCCTGAGCGTATATCCAGACAAAACTACCATTCAAAAAGATACACACACGCCTATGTTCACAGTAGCACTATTCACAATAGCCCAAACATGGAAGCAACCTAAATGTGCATCACCAGATGAATGGATAAAAAGATGTGGTGTATATATA